GAGTTGGGTGTCTACCTAAGAGTCATGAACAATTACAGAAGCATGTTGTTAAGAGACATTATTCCTTGGAAAGGGATATCATGTTTGGAAATTTGGAGGAAGGTCAATGAAAGAAAGGAAGACCATCAATGAGATGAACTGACAAAGTGACTGAAGCAATGGGTACAAATGTGTCAGAGATGATGAGGAAACAGGACAGGACAGGTTTCAAGTCTGTTGTTCACAGGGTCACTATGAGTCATACTCCACAGCACCTAACAGTATCAAGAAATCTCTGGCTTCAGCTCTTTGGCCTCACAGCCACCACAGTGCATGCTGGGAGGTCACAGTCGAAGTGGGAGCAAGAGCGAGGTAAGCGATGGTGTCTGAGGCAGGGCAGAGAGCGTGGCCACGCACAGGGCTGATCTCGTTTGTAAGGCATAGAGCAGGCAGCAGCAATATGACCTGAGAGGAGATAAGACTATCCACTCAAACATTTGATGACTTGCAAACAATGGTTTTATTTTGGTAAAAATTATTGTCGTTGTTATATGCCATTGAGTCCCCTGTGACTCTTATCAACTATGTACAACAGCCCTAAACCCTGTTCTATTCTTTGCCAATCTTATTATCTGCAACACACCTATCCCCATTGCCCTAGTCACTGAATCAATCTGTCTCATTGAGGGTCGTCCTCTCCTGTGCCGTCCCTCCACCTTCCCAAGCATGACTTCCCTCTCCAAGGACCAGTTCCTCCTTGCAACAAACCCAAAAGTATGTCACATGAAGCTTCAGAATCCTTGCCTCCAAGGAGCAGCCTGGCTTCATCCTCTCCAGGACAAACTTGTTTGTTCTCCTAGCAGTCTATGGCATATTCAACACTCTTCTCCAGCACCACAACTCAAAGGCATCAATTCTCCTTCTGTTGTCCCTAGTCATTGTCCAGCTCTCTGATACATAGCAAGCAATTGCAAAGACCATGGCCTGGATCAGGCGCACCTTAGTCTCTGACTGACATTGTTGCTCTTCAGTACTTTGGAGAGGTCTCTGACAGCAGACTTTCCCAATGCAAGTTGTCTTTTGATTTCCTGGCTGCTGGTACCAAGAGTGTGGATGGTAGAGCCAAGCAGACCAAAGCAGTCAACAATCTCAATCTCTTCACCATCTATCATGAAGCTGCCAATCATGTGACAAAACATTTGCCAATCCAGCCTTCTCTACGATGTGAACTGATCACACTCACCACGTTCTACAGGGATCACTACCATCCATTTCCATGTATTCTACCACCATTGAAAGAACTTCAGAGTAAAGACATTCCTGTTCCCCAACCCCTGCACCGTGGTGACGACTAATACACTTTGGTCTCTGTTGTGGTTAGGTGTGGGTGAGTTGATTCCAATTCATAAGACCCCAAGTAAACAGAACTAAACACTGCCCCATGCCTGTGCCACCCTCATGGGCATTGCCCCACTTGAGCCCATTCTTGCAGCAGCTCCTGTATCAGTGCGTCTTGCGGAGGGTCTGTCCTGCTGCTAATGCAAAGGCCAGAAGTTCAAATCCACCGGCTGCTCCACGGGACAGAGACGAGCCGTCCCCTCCAGTAAAGGTTTGCAGCCCTGGATGCCCCACAGTGGGTCTCTGAATCCCTTTTGGGTTTGGTTTGGGGTTTTCTCTAGTCACTTAATCTCTTTCAACCTCTACTTCTAGATTCCATGGTGATCAAATGGCATTTATCATCCCATCTCACTGTGCTTGCTTGCTTGATCAGCTTCTGTATTTCAAAAGATATGTAAGACTCTTCAACACTGCCTCATTAACATAATGGGATATTATGCTACCATTAACAATTCAAATTAACAAAACGGAAAATTCCCAAGTGAGATTATAAACACAAGTAATTTGGGGCATGTTGCAAGGAGGGACTGGTCCTTGTAGAGGGACATCATGTTTGGCAGAGCGGAGGGGCGTCGAAGGAGAGGAAGACCTTTGGTGAGATGGATCAATTCTGTGACTGGAGCGGTGGGAATAAGTGTGTTTGAGATGGCTAGGTTGGCACAGGATAGAACAGCATTTAGAGCTCTTGTACATAGGGTCACTATGACAAGCTCAATGGCACATAACAACAACAACAACAAATTTACACACTGTTAATGAGTCAAAACTGACCATAGCTGAAGCTCCGTTAGATTTCGGAAACTGTAAATCACACAAGACTGCTCACTGTTCTCTCTCAGAGCTTTCTGGTGGGCCCAAACCACGAAGAGATGAGGCCTTTGGGTTATCAGAGCAGCTCTCTACCGATGAAGCCACCAGAGTCCCCTGACCACAGAAAAAGAGGTTAGGATTTACAGAGAGGGTAGCAGAGAAGAAAAACAAAGTAACTGTGAAAGCAACAGTTTTATACTTAAGGTATGAAAAGCCTCAGACTGGAGACTAAGGTGTGTCTGATCCAGGCCATAATCTTCCCAATTGCTTGTTATGCATCAGAAAGCTGGACAGTGACTAGGGAAGACAGAAGGGGAATCAATGCCTTTGAGCTGTGGTGCTGGAGAAGAATAGTGAATATACCATGGACTGCCAGGTGAACAAACAGGTTCATCCGAGAGAGGGTGAAGCCGGGCTGCTCCTTGGAGGCAAGGATTCTGAGGCTTCATCTGACATACTTTGGGACATGTTGCAAGGCAGGATCAGTCTTTGGAGAGGGACATCATGCTTGGGAGGGTGGAGGGACAGCGCAGAAGAGGAAGACCGTTGATGAGATGGATTGATTCAGTGACTGGGGTAATAGGGGTAGGTGTGTCAGAGACAATAAGATTGGCACAGGATAGACTGGGTTTAGGGCTGTTTGTATATAGGGCGCTAGGAGTTCCAAGCGAGTCAACAGCACGTAACAACAGCAACATGGAAGGTCTGAACAAATGCTTTTAAATTTGGTTTTAATTACTAAATTAGCTTGTCTTCTTTCTTTTTTAATCCACTGAAGCAGAAAGAAGAGGAAGAGCATGTAAGTCTCTCCTGAACTAGGGCTTTTGGGCTGCTGTGTTCACCACCAAGCTCTAGGAAGGATTGGGAAAGCAGTTTCTAAGTTGAAAGCCCTCTGTCACAACAGGTGAGCCAAACCACTTGATGGGCCCAGGCAAGGGGCTTTTCCTGGACATATTCCCTCCAGAATGGAACTGCTGATGGTGTCCAGTGGCACTTGGGGAGTACCATCCAGTAGCTTCCTTGGGGTGGCTTAGTGGTAAGGAGTTGCACTGCCAACCCACAGGAACATGGATCAAATCTACCAGCTGGAAACAACTATGAGATATCATCACCCCAGTCAGAATAGCAAAATTTAACAGAACAGCAAGCAACATGTGCTGGCAAGGTTGTGGAGAAACTGGAACCCTTATTCACTGTTGGTGGGAGTGTAAAATGGTGAAACCACTGTGGAAGGTGGTATGGTGCTTTCTCAAAAAGTTGCAAATAGAGATACAATTTGACCCAGGAATTCTACTACTGGGAATATACCCCAAAGAGACCATAACTGACACCAAGCAGATATATGCAGACCTATGTTTATAGTGGCTTTGTTCACAATAGCAAGGAGTTGGATAAAACCTAAGTGCCCATCAACAAACGAATGGATAGAGAAGCTGTGGTATATTCACACAATGGAATACTTCACTGCATTGAAAACCAAGGCACTCATGCAATATTATTCAAAATGGGTGACCCTGGAGGACATTATGCTGAGTGAAGTATCTCAGTCACAAAAGGACAAATACTGCATAGTGCAACTGTTGTAAAACAGGACTGACATGGGGGCTGGGGGGAGACTGAGAAAGATGGGTTCAGTAATGTATACTGCATTGAAACAGATGAGGGAGAAAACTGTTTAAAAGGGATATGTGATTAGGTATCTTTGTCATGGCAGGAGTCCAGAGCAAAGGCTGCATAGTGGAGTGGATCTGGTGGGAGGGATTGTAAAACAATGAAAGAATTTTTCTTTTCCTTTTCCAAGAGGGTAGTGTACTGGGGGGGAGGGCTGAGAGGGGAGAAAAGTACAATGAATGAATGGAAATTAAAAAAAAATTAAAAAAAAAATCTACCAGCTACTCTGCAGCATCAAGACCGGCAATCTCCTCCCACACAATTTACTGCCCCTGACAACTCACTGGAGGGTCAGTTATGGGTCGGTTCCAGTGCTCGGAGGTACAACACAACAACAGGAGTACCCAGGTAAAGCATGTAGGTTCTAATATCAGAGACAGACCCGACTTTGAGCCCCTCTCTCCTTGTCAGCCTTCCTGAATCCTCACATCAACCTCAGTGAATCTGGTCACTTCATTATCCCCTCCATTTTGCAGAAGAAACTGAGGCACAGAAAGGTTAAGTCACCTAGGGGAGCTCACACAGGAGAAAGCGGTCTCCCTTCTGGACTATCAGGTGCTAGGTCTTCCCCACCGCAGCCTGTGACTTCTCCTCTCTGGTCTCAGTTTTACTCGGCTGTGAAATGGGCTTCCCCACACTCACCTCTCTCAATTATCTTGAAAATTAAATGTGATTGTGGTTGAAGAATTTAATGGCTGAGATTAAAAGGCGTCAGTGCTGAAGTGGTGTTTTTTTTTTCCAAAGGAGCCTTCAATACCGCAGTCCCTGCAGGAAAGAGAAGAGAATGCCCCAATGCTTGCCCTTGATGGTGAAAGGGCCTGGTCACTATTGTTCAGTGTCCCCCAAAGGGGAGACACAGTGCATGATCAGAACGAGGCCCTGTGCCAACCACAGGGCAAAGTGCACAGGACCCTTCCCGCCCCTAAGCCTAAGTGGTCTCTTGGCGTTTTCATGGGTTCCCCTTGTCCCCCACACCTGGATATGACCACATGGCATCCTGTTCCTACCCTGTTAGAGAAGGAAGTGAAATTTAGGGTCCTGTGTAACCGGCTGGAGAGTGAAGCAAGCGCCCACCCCCCTCCTCCAGGGCAGATAAAAGGGCTGGTGCGCGCTCCTAGCCATCCGCGAGCGCCCTGTCCACCATGTCCCCACGCTGTGCGCTGCTCACCTGCGCCCTCCTCGCCTTCCTCGCCCCCCTTGCCCTGGGGGAAGAGCTGAGCGAGGAGCTCTCGGCCTGCTGCAGTCTCGTCGTGCCCCGGGGAGAGTGGAGGGCTACCGCGTCCTCGTGCTCCCAGAAGCTGAGCCTGCCTGCGCGTTATGTGATAGTGTCGCACACAGCGGGCGCTTCCTGCGACAGCCCAGCCTCGTGCCAGCAGCAGGCCCGAAATGTGCAGTATTACCACGTGCGGGAGCGGAAGTGGTGTGATGTGGCCTACAAGTGAGTGGAGAAGTTGGGGTGGGGGTGTGTGTATGTGTGTGTGTGTGTGTGTGTGTGTGTGTGTGTGTGTGTAGCAGGGCAGTGTGTGTGGTAGGGCAGTGTGTACGGGCCACGGGGAGGGGGTGAGGTGTGAAGAACAGGGGGGAGGCAGGTTCCAGACCCCTCTGAAGCCTCCGGGCTGGGACCTTGGCTAGTTCACATTGCAACTCTCAGGAGAAAAGATTATCCATCTTTTTCCCATAGACTGGCTGGTGGAGTTGAACCCCCTGATGGTGCCATCTTTGAGTTAACAAGGCAATTCCTTCAGGGCTATACCACCAGGGGCCCCTCAACTTCCAAGAGGCCTTAGTTTCCCCCAGGACCTCCATGCAGGGCTGGGAAGGCGCACCTTGCTCAAATGATACCCAAGGAGGGGGGAAAAGCTGAAGGTGCCCCTGATACCTTGAGGGGACTGGGTCCCAGCCTCCCAAATATCCCGTTGTTATCAGACTCATGGTGACCCTCTACCAGCTTTGAGGCTGTAAATTAACCATGTTTATAATCTAGTAGTGAAGTGGCATCGTCAATGCTAAGGCACTTGGTTCAAATCCACCAGCTGGTCCATAGAAGAAAGATGGGCAATCTCCTCTTAGGTGATTTAAAGCCCTTGAAAACCCTCTGGCGGGTCAGCTAGGAGTCAATTCCGACTCAAAGAGTGCACAACAATAACAAATATTAGCCGGGAAGAGACAGCCCATCTTTCTATCCCAGAGCAGCTGGTGAATTCAGCTCTGACCTTTCCGTTGGCACATAATACACATGGCCCTTTTCTGCTAGTGTCAGGCTAAGACCTAGGGCCAGGGCGCTCGGCCTCTCCTGGCTTCAGCTCAAGCCTCTGCAGAGTCCCCAGGGGAGGGGCCCACCTGCTCACTGAATTGGCCGCTCCAAGCAGGGCCCTTAAACACCCCCTGCCGTATACAACCAGCAGCAGCTGCCATCCAGCCCAGGGATCCACACAGCCCAGTGTGTGTGTGTGAGAACTGCGCTCAGTCAGGTTTTCAATGAGTGATATTTGGGGGAAGGAGATCGCCAGGTCTTTCTTCTGAGGCACCTCTGGGTGGACTTGAAGCTCTAAATTTTGAGTTAGCCATTGAGTGCTTAACAGTTTGTACTACCCCGGCACCCTGGTGTATGTTGCTGTATGCCATCAAGTCACCCACAATTCAGTGACCTGGTGTATAGCACCAAATAAGTAAGCCAATCACTTGACTCCAAACAGCTATGATCCTACAGAACTTCCCGTCTGTTTCCAAAGCTGTGAATCTTGACAGAAGCGGATTGCTTTGCCTTTCTCCCACAGAGTGAAATAGTGGGTTTGAACCACTAATCTTTTGGCTGGCACACAAGGCTCCTAGGAACCCTGAAGTACATGAGCAGTTGTTACGGGGGTGTGTATGTGTGTGTATTGATATCATGGAGTCTGAACTGACTCATAGCGCTGACCCTCTAGGAAGTTTTCAGAGGCTACAAATCAGACAGGAGGAGCTTGTCCAACTTTCTCCCGCTGAGCAGCTAGTGGATTTGAACCACCTGCCTTTGGGTTGGTGGCACAATTCCTTATCCATTAGACCACCGAGCTCCCCTCATTGTTGCAAGGCAATTGCTATATACCACGTCCCATGCTGGACCTTGAGTCAGAACATAAGACACAAACAGTAGGAATCCAGCCCTAGTTAAGGGACCAGTGATGAGAAACCAGCAAAATCACCAGGATGGATTCAGATGGTGATAGATATAATGGGTGGAAAGAAACACGGTGATGGAGGGGGTGTCCTCTGGAACCAGGCTCTCCTCTCTGAAGGCTGGGGTAAAGAGGGCCTCCCAGAGGAGGTGGGTTTGAGTTGACTCTGGGATGGGGAGCTGAGGGGAGTGTGGAAGGCAGAAGGGACAGCAGGTGCGAAGGCTGTGACAGCAGATGTGTGCGCTGGAAGTGTGGCTGTTAGATGCCCGAGTCCATTTAAACTGTTAGCAATGGCCACAGGGGGTATGGAAAGGGGATGGCGGCAGAGGTCAAACGGGGCAGGACCTGGCAGGCCAAAGGAAGGGCTCTGGCTCTGACTCTGAAGCCTCAGGTCTTCCGGTGGTCAGGTTGTTGCTGTGTGCCATGGAGTCATAGCTGACTTTCCAGCAGGTTTTCAGCGGCAGCTAAGCGCATCAGAGGAGTCTACCCTTACTTCTCCCACGCAGCAGCTGGTGGATTTAAACCGTGTGACTTTGACATTACAGCGCAGCATCTTACCACGAGGCCACCAGAGCTTCCTGCTGGTCGTGTAGGAAGACCCAGTTGGGGCAGAGTGAGGGCCAACAGATGGGGGGTAGGTAGGGCTGCCGCTGGGGCCCCCTGCCCAAGAACTTCCCACTTGATGCAATAGGCTCAGGTCTTACACAAGGGTCCCCACAACGGGAGGAAATGCAACCAACCTCACCAGTGCAGACCCGTGAATGAATGCGTTTCACAGCTTGGCTGTCATGCCTTTTCCCTTCCAGAAGGAAAGTGCTGGGGCCCCAAGGTCTGTTTCTGATTATGAACCTGACCCCTGGGCCCTTAATCCCAAAGGGGACCCAGGGACCAGGAAGCAGACTGAGGTAGGCAGGGACAGAGCTTCTCAGTGGAGAGTTTTGGGTGATCTGCCCTTGGGCAAGTGACCCTGTGTCCCCAGCTTAAAATGTGGGTGAAAGTAGTACCTACCTTAGAGAGTCGTGGAGTGAAGGCTCAGCAAGCACAGCTCAAAAACTCCTCCAGAGGGCAGCAGAGAGCAAGAAATAAGACCATGTGGGTGGGAGTCAAGTTCTGCCTCTGCCCCTGCCTGGCTGTGTGACTCTGGGCAGGTGACTTCACCTCTCTGATTCTGTCTATATATGGGAGTCACAGTAACTGAGGATAAAACCAGGAACGTGGTAGGGAAATATCTGATGGGAAATTAGGGAATGAGAAGAGGGGTGCTGGGGGAAAACTCTCTAGGGGTACAGGAAGAGGTGGTGATGAATGAAGGGGATGGAGTCCTACCCCCAGAAGCCCTCCCAGATTCATTCACTGCCCCTCCCCACCCCCACAGCTTCCTGATCGGAGATGACGGGCTGGTGTATGAGGGCCGGGGCTGGGACACCAAGGGCGACCACACAGGATACATCTGGAACCCCATGTCCATTGGGATCACGTTCATGGGCAATTACATGGGTGAGTGACTGGGTCTGGAAAGAGCAGGGGGCTGCAGCGATAGTGGAAGTTATTTTTCAACCATACAGTTGGGAGTGAAGATGGATCCCCAGAGAAGCTACTGGTTCTGAAAGTGGCACCGGAAAAATGCTTGTCAGCTTTTACTTGAGAGAAAGAGTGAAGACCATTTGCCATTTACAGCCCACCAGGCACGATGGGGAAACTGAGGCACAGTGAGGTTCAAGTCACTGCAAGGGAGGGGCAGAGTCCAGTGCGGGCGCTAAGGGAAGTACACACACACACACACACACACACACACACACACACACACACACACGGAGAGGGAGAAAGAGAGGGAGAGAGGGAGGGAGAGAGAGAGAGGAGCCAGAGGGGGAGAGGCAGAGAGGAAGAGAGAAGGGGAGATACGGAAAGGGGGAAGGGAAGGGGAGAGAGAAGGAGGGGGAGGGAGGGGAAGAGGAGGACAGACAGACAGACAGACAGACAGACATTCTCTCAACATCCGCCCTCCTCAATGCTATCTTTGCCTCCTACAGAGCGAGTGCCCCCAGCCCGGGCCCTCCGGGCAGCTCAGAATCTGCTGGCCTGCGGCGTGGCTCGGGGCGCCCTGCTTCCACAATACGAGGTAAAAGGGCACCGAGATGTGCAGCAGACACAGTCCCCGGGCGACCAGCTCTACGCCATCATCCAGAATTGGCCGCACTACCGAGACTGAGGCCCTGCCAGCCAGCGGGTCCCCCACCCCGCCCCAGCT